AGTAGCACCAGGACCCACACTAGGGAGTGTAATTAATGGTGCTATTCACACTGTTCTCGGCAATGATCCTTATTCACCATATCCCTGCTATGGGGGATTTAGCACGCAATTTGTAAACCCAATAGTATCAAGGTTTAGGGGTTTATATTAGCATGGTATAGGATTGATATCACATGCATTACTCGCAATACCAATAATTATTGGACTTCTTATTCCCTTCCCATTGTGGTAAGCCTTATATTGTCTAAGTGTTTTTTGTATAATGCAAAAGAAATAATACAAAAAAGAGTGTATTGTATTTATCAAAATGAAAAGTATGATTAATCAATACAATGGGCCTTGTATATGATTCAAATTAGTAAAACAGAATATCACAATATTATAAAAAAAATAAAAGACACCCAAATGACTAAATTCATGAATATAACTTATAGTTAATTACTCATTTATGGAATGTTAAAAAGGATACAATCCATATGGCATATTCTACGTATCCTATACAATTATATATGCTTTTCAGTGTATTATTACAGATTTTTTCTTTAATATATAAATATTCTGGAGTAACATCTTAATGTATTCTTAAATTTTGTTCTCCTACGAAATATCCATTTATTAATACATAAATATAAAGTTATATCAAACTTTTCATATATTCCTATGTAAATCTATACAATTATTTGTCTTATGAAAGCCACAAATTTTCAACATTTAATACATGTGCATATATAAATTATTCATTTGTATCACATTTTAATCAAATATTTGTCAGGAAAAAAATTATGCGGAGAAGGCACAGGATTCAAGCACAAATGTGAAGTTTTCCAAAAGATGCTAACTCACACATATCAGAAGTGTTAAAAAACAAACTTGCTGTTCATTATGAGAAATATGAATAGAACCCCTCTACGTTTTAAAATGTTGTTCGTGCATGTGCCTTAACTTAGGGGTCGCTTTTTGTACACTTTTTATTTTGTCTATACGCAAGAATAGCTGCTATAACACAATACTAATTTTCCGCAGCTTCCTGTGTACGTATAACACTCGAAAAAGAACATTTTTTAAATATTCAGTACATCACATGGTTAATGAAAATTTGAAGGAGCGATATTATTTCAAAATTTGTTCGTGTACTCACTAAAAAATAATTATAGGTATGCTTTATTTCATACTACCAAATGAGAAGGAGCGGTGACGGACAAGGTACTCATTGAAAGTACCAATAAATGCTGAATCTACTAATACAAAACAATTTGTCCATTAAAAATTTTTTTTTTGAATAGCTAGAAATGTCATAGAAACAGAAAAATATATACCTACTACTGTTTAGATTGTTCAAACAGATGTTGCCGCTCTATGTTGGCTCACGTTTTAACTTGCGAAAAAAGGGTGAATTTGTCTGCGCGGTCAACCGATAGGAAATGAAAAAATTGGTCAAGTTTATCTGTCTACAGGGTTTAGGGTTCATGGTTCAGCGTTCAGGATTCTAAGTTTTAGCAGGTTTAGACTTTAAGGTTTAGGGATCAATGTTCCGGGCTTTACGCGATTTAGGACGTTTAGGAGGTTTAGAATTTTTAACATTTAGGACTTAAATTTAAATAATTGCCAGGTTGGCGTTTCCGTGTTGAATATGTAAGGATCCCAGTTCCGGTGTTTAGCAGGCTTAAAACTTTAGGGCTGTTTTTTTTTTTTTTTTAATTAGTATTCTGCGTGTCCGTATAAAAGTAGTCCAAATAGTAACGTTGGTTCGCGTTCCTTTTGGGAACATGGGACGGAACAGTGAAAGGCGAATGCCAACGGTTGGTCCTTTTTCCACTCGGTTGTATGTGTGCGTGCTTGTGCGTTGTGCGTTTGTGAGTGCGCGCTTACTTTCCAAAGGGAATAACCAAGGAGGGCGACTGTGACGGCGGACAGGAAGAAGAGTACGGGAGTCGTGGCGGTAAGGACGTCGGCGGTTAAATCGGGAAAGAAGGGGCCATTATCCTTCGACGGACCGTCATTTGGGTCAAGAGTATGAGGAACCTGTGGGGTACTTGGTCCGTAATTTCCTCCCAGCTTATTTATATCAGGTTTAAGTTCGAATGACACGTGCACGTCACCGGATGAATACAGGTGCTTTTTGGCGGAGTCGTCGGCAGGGGGCGCACTGTGACCACCGGTGCTCCGTCTGCCATCATTAGATAAGGGAGAAGTATCTGTACTACTGCAATCTTTATCAGTCAGTCCCCCTATGCAAGCGTCGTATACCTCACATCAGTATGCTCTTTCTGCACATTAACATCAGGCGTCATAGGGTCCGGGTTTTCAACTTTGTCACCCGAGGGACCAGATGTACCCCCGTGTGCGACATCACCTGTGGTTGTTGCTGTGTTCGATGGTGCCTGTGGCAGTACCGTCGGTGCTTCCTGTGGCCGTGGTTCCCCAGATGACACCGATGTTACTGGTGTAGGAGTCTCCGGTATCTGGGACCCGGATGGTTTCTCCAGGACACTGACCACGGATCCACCGGGATCACTGGTACCTATAAAATCAAGAAGGGAAAAGAATATAGGGGAACTATGTTCAGATGACCATGGTTGGTCCGTCGGCACCATTGGTGCCAGGGTGCGAACGGTGGTTGGCAGGTGCCACCCCGGGAAAAGACTCTCTCTGTCTCCCACACAACACAACACACACAACACAGTGTGTGTCTGTCTGTCTGTCGACTTCTACCCGTCTACGTGTCGACGTAGACGTCTACATCCCGCGGCGGACCCATCACTCTGCCGCTCACTGTCCCCGTCTCATTCTCATTGGACGTTTGGTTTCTCTCTGCCCCTCTCTCCGTGGTGTCTCGCCCTCTCTCCGGAAATTGGGCGTTGTTCGTTTTGTTCTTCTCTTGTTTTTGTCACTCCTTTTATTAGTGCATATGTGTTGGAGTGGCACAATGCCTGGTAGGTTCCTGTATCTCACTCATTAGCTCAATTACCGGTGTCCGAACATGCGAGTGAGGTATTCGGCTGCAATGTACTAATGGTGATGGACCCTCCGTCCTGTTGTCCTTGATGTGTTTCAGTTCGCACGACCGCAGTACACGTTGCCTTGGTGTCCTTACCTGTTTCAGGTGATTTGGTATCATCGGGGGGTACTGGAGGTTGTCCCGCTGGTACTGGGGCTGACGGAGCTGGTGGTTGTTGTGCCGTCGAGCCTGATCCTGGACCTGGTCCTGGTCCCGTGTGGTTGGTGTCAGGTCCTGGTAATTCTGGTAATACTGGAGATGCCGGTGTCGTTCCTGCAATGACGGAAGGAAGAAAAAAAGATGGACGAAAAGATGATAAAAAAAAAAAGGGACACAAGTGGTACAGACGGGCGGCCGAGAGACAGCCGCGGCAGAACCGCGGGAAGTAGAGAGACGTAGAGACTAGACAGGTAGACGGACACACACACTGTGTGTGTGTCTGTGTGTGTTGTGGGAGAGAGAGAGTCTTTTCCCGGGTGGTAACCTACCCCCGTGCCATGCCCCACCGTCCGTCTCCTGCCCCGTACCCTGCCCCTCTGGGTCAACAGTGAAACGGCGCCTAACAAGCGTGTAGCCGACGGTGTGGTCAAGCATGCATCTTACAAAAACTCCGTTTCGACACTTTTTACATTTTCCCATCCTACACGTACACTCAGGATCCGAGGAGCCAGATGCTGTGTCTAAGGCGCACCCAAGGCCCTCTGCCTCACCTGAAACCAAGGCGCACAAGCCTCCCGAAGACCTAGGTCACGTATCAAAACCTATGCCTGAGCCCCCTGACATTGATAAGTCTGATACGGGGACACTGACTAACACTGAAGAACCTGAGAAAAGTACTGACAGGAATTCAGAGGGCAACACCCGCAACACGGAGACCCAGAGTACTGAAGGCCCCGCTGGACGCACTATTCACAGTGCCGGGCATGGTGAACCACACAATACTGCGACCCCTACGCCGCACTCGTCCCAGGACAGATCACACGGACCGTCTGAGAATAATCCAGCCGGAGAGCTGCGTGGTAAGCTTGACACTCATCAACAGGTGCAGGATTGGGAGGATAAGGAAACGTCCGGAGCAGCTACAGTACTTGGGCACATACACAACAAATACGGGGGACGCAACAATTTTGACTTATTCTTAGGCAATCTACTACATGGTACTGCTGCAGCCGGACACTTTGGACCAGGTCCCACACCTGATTTAGAGCATATAAACCCCATAGATACGGGTGCCGTCGGTGGCCCCCATGGACACGACCTAACCGGTGCCGTCCTGACCGCCACTACTCCCGTGCTCTTCTTGCTGTCCGCCGTCGCCGTCGCTCTTCTTGGTTATTCCCTTTGCAACGTAAGCGCGCACAAAACCGCACACAATCACACAACGCGCACACACAACGTACAAGCTCACGAAACCACGCATAAGCACGCAAAAATATAACCGAGTGGAAAATGAACCAACAACCGTTGCCATGCCCACTCCAACGTTCCTCCCACAAATGGGGACTCCTAACCAACTTTACACTATTTGGACTACTCTACAACGAAAAAGAAACAATACTAAATATTAGAAAAAAAAAACAAAAACGTAGTAACATTAAAAAAAAGAAGAACACATCACAAGAACCTATTACGCACGTGCGTCCCTACATGCCGGATACATTGTATATTTGAGGCAAACAAGGTTGGGCTTGTTGGATGCATATATTAGATACATGCTTACACAATAGGGTCATATATATATGTAATACGTGCTAACATTAATATATTCTTGTAATTATGAAAGTTATTGTAGATGAAAATAAAACAATAAAAAAATAAAAGAACAAAAAAAAAAAAGCCCTAAAACTTTAAGCCTCCTAAACTCCAACACTGGGATCCTTACATATTCAACACGGAAACGCCAACATTGCAATTATTTAAATTTAAGTCCTAAATGTTAAAAATTCTAAACCTCCTAAACGCGCTACACGCGCTAACCTGAAACCGTGACGCCTGAACCTTGAATGTCGTTAATCTTAAATCCGTATTGCGCAACCTCATATTCCTGAAATCGTACAAACCTGCAATCTTGCAATCCGGAAACCTTCAAATTCTGAAATCTTACAAGGCTCAAACCTGCAACACTGAAACACTACAATCCAGAAAACCTCACAATCCTGGAACATTACAATTTTGACACCGTACAAACCTGAAATCTTACAGTCCTGCAACGTTACAATCTCAACGCCTTACAATCCTGAAGCGTAAACCCTGAAGCCTGAGGCACACAAAGTCAAGGTGAATATTGCAGGCATAAGAAGCCATATAGATAAGGGGGTGGAGTATGCATGAGCAGTAATATAATGCAGAGCGCTGGAATATGTAAATTTTTTACTTTTAGTTTTTTTCTTATACGTATAGTTGTAAAGCTATAATGGACCAGGTTTACCCCAACGTCTTTTATTTACTATTTCTTTCTTATAGTAATTCCGAAAATTGTGTTTATAGGTGCTTACCAGTATAGAGATGTACATTAATATTTTTGTCCTTACATGAAATTCACATATTTCACGGCATTGTCATATAATATATTCCATATATAACAGAAGAAACAAAGTATGTTTGGGCTTTCTTTTCTTATTTTTTTTTT